TCTCTCTCTCTCTCTCTCTCTCTCTCTCTCTCTCTCTCCCTCTCTCTCTCTAAATACACATGTATACACGGGAGATGTCTTTGTGTATGCTGTGATTGCAAATCAACACCTTGTCATTGTCACTAACTGGAAAGGCCTGTATTTCTTTTAATTACAAGAAAAATGTTCATCCTGAAATTTTAGAATCCTGGATGAAAGCATGAGACATAATGTTCTACACCATCACGGTTCTCAATCTGCAGTCTGCTGACCAGTGCAGGTCCACCCATGTTTTTTTTTTTTTTTTTTTTTGTTGGTCTGCAGGAAATTTTCTGTGGCATAATAAATTCATCAAAAGTAGCAATATAATTTGTTATCTCTGTCTCAAATTTGGGAAAAACAATGGCAGTTGAAATTATCTGATGTAAAAATATAAAATTGGCTTTTATTGTAATAACCCTTGAGATTTTCACTCACTGAATGAATTATTTCAATTTTTTCATTCTGAGCAACCTTTCTTCAAGACCATCCTTATAATATTTTGAAGACAATCCACTTATAGATGCTTCATTGGTTTATAATTTTTTGCAATTAACAAAAAACTTTTCAAATGCCTGCCAGCAAGCCTTTTGAGTGAGCCTTTTTGAGTCTGCAAAAATTTCATGGAACCTTGCTGGTGTGCAGAAAATTTTTTCTTTAATTTGCAGCTCAAGAAATAATCATGAAAATTTACTGGTCCATGAGCCCAAAAACGTTGAGGAGCACTGTTCGACAATATATATATACAGTATATACTGTTTACAGCAAGAGGAGTTCAATTCTTTCAAATTTTCAACAAAATTTCTTTGGTAGTGAGTGGGAAACTGTGTATAATTGGGACGCTTTTCACTTATCAGCATCATTCACTGTCTTCAAAAAATGTGTTAAGCATCTAAAAAAAAGAAGAAGAAAATGATTAGAACATCATGAGGGGGAAGTTTTAAATACATTTTCCAATTTTCAACTTTGTCAGATGTTTCAACGATTTGTAACAGTATTGTATACAGTATTACAACTCTGTGTATGCATGAGTTTGGATTTCAGAACAGCTGTTACAAATTTACCTCAATAACTTGAAACTCCCCGAGTTAAACAACTCCATATGTCAATTTTTTTCAATTCAAGTAAGTCCCTGTCTGAAGTCTGAACTCCTTAAGTAATAATGTACAGTCTTATACTGTATACCTCCTTAATTGAAAAATGTTTCCTCTCAAACATACATGACTCAACTTTTATAAAGGCCTCTGGGAAAATATTTTTGAGATCCAGGAAAAGAGAAAAGTAATGAAAATTTAACTTGATGCTTTTGAAAAGAAGTGAAAGACTTACTGGGCAAATGAACCCTTGCCTCCAAATTTAGCACCCCTAGCTGTCACTTTCTCTGCAAAACCAGTTTGCTGCCAAAAAGATCACCAAGTTTGACTTCATGGAAATCTTTTTTAACTAAAAATGATAATCTCCCCCTAGGTCAAAAACTCCCAAAATCAAATTTTTGTGCTACGCCCTTGGGATATGACTTTGAAGAGGTTCAACTTTAATTTAAATGTTTTAAAAGAATGATTCAGGTGAACTCTCTCAACAAAATTGTATCCATAATAATTTTATCCATCTGTAAAAAAAATTTTTATATAGGGTTCTCTCCTCAATTTTAGAGGTAATCAAGAATTAAAGCCTCTTTACAATAACTTCATTTGTTGTTGCACAGGATGTTTTTTGCATAGAGCAGTGTTCTCCAGCTCATGGTCCATGGACATGCACCAGTCTGCTGAAGTTTTTGCCAGTCCACAGGAATTTCCTTCTGTATAATAAATATATATAAATAACAATGAGGTATTTTTCCTTTATCTATAATTTCAAAAATAGCACTTGAAATAATTATCTGATGAATGATCTTTCAAACGAAAAGAGGATTATTGTGACGTCTACGTAAAAGTGTACGATTTTATTTAATAAAACTAAAAATTAAGAACCTTTGGAAAGGAGTCCAGGTAGAGAGATTTAAAAGTTTCTATAAGGTGAAAAGCTGCTTCATTATAGGTTTTAATTTAGTTTTTGCAGCAAAACACGCACAGAAACTTTTCAAATGTCTGCCGTGAATTCTTTCAAGCAAGACTTGTTTGAGAGTTGAAACTTCGCCAGTCTGAATGATCTTTTTTTTAATTGGCAAAAAAATTTAGCTCAACTTTGCCAGTCTGTGGGCCCAAAAAACGTTGGGAACACTGATGGTATAGAGAGAGAGTCCACATTTGTTATATATTTTTTTTTCTTCTGTTGGACTCTCAATCTCTATATAGTCTATAGTATCTATACAATTGAAGTCCAGGGACTAAAATATAAATGCTATAATAAATAATGGGTATATACGGATGCAGATCGAGCCACCGGGATCGGACTACGATGCTGCCATCTGGAAGGCTCATCAGCTCAAGGCTGAGGCGAGTCTCTCGGGGCAGCAGAATCAGCACAGTCCGGTGAAGGCGCAAACGAGCTTCTTGACTCGGCTCGCGGGCATCCCGAATCTCACGGCCGACGACCGTGGCGCCGCCATCGGCACCGGTGACAAGCACCGCACGTGCACCAAAAGCGTGCACAAGGTCGTCTTCCTCTTTTGCTCCGTCACGCTCGCCATCATCATCGCCTGCATCATATTCGTTGAAAGTAAGGTGCTGCTGTGAATGGGTTTTTAGCATACAATACAGCATTAAATGATTCGTTTGAGGACAATATATGTATCTGCATTTTTCCTATTTATTCCTATCATCCCCTGCAGCATAAGATGTATTTGCTTGAGTTCAGGACATCTAAGTGCACTGGATTATAAGAGGGACTCCTGGTTTTCTGATCCTAAACTTTCAGTAAAATCATATCTCCTGCGATTGAATAAGTTGGTACCTTAATGTACCACTATACTTGCACACTGACTGCTGTTAGATGGCAGCCATATTAATTGCATATTAGAGATTTTAATCTGTTCCCTTCAAGGATTTTAACAAATCAGGTGTGCAGAAAGAACAAACTGATATAGTCTGATGTGCATCTCATGCTTAGAGGCTATAAAACAGGGCACCATTTTTATAATAAAATGCATTGAAGAAATGTAAAATTTGACGTGAATTGAACCCAAATTGAAATTAATTTTCCTGTTTTTTCTTTTGAAAATCATTTATTGGTGCAATGTTTTTAAAAATCTTCATAAGAATAAAGTATTATAAACACCAACTCTTTTTTAATTTTTAAAGATTGTATACCCCCTTTCATAAAGCACAGGCCCTCTTTCTTCCACTTGATTTTGAAAAAAATGAACTTATGTTGCTTGAGTGAATGAGGTACAGTTGTTGGACCTTAACCCTTGGGCAGTGTTGCTGGGATTTATCTGCAAAATTGTGTGCCCCAAAGAGTAGAAAAAGGGGGAAAATGATTATAAGAGCCAAAGTCAGGAAAAATCCCAAATTTGCTTTAGCATTCCAGCAGAACCATTTGTTAGAGAAAAAGGAAAAAAATTTACTGTAGGTGGCATTTTTTTCTGCATTCCTGCCATAGGATAAGCATTGGGGAAATTTTGAGGACAATGACTTCCTTCTTGCGGGATTTTTCCTGACTCTGGCTACTCAAAGGTGGTAAAAATCCCGCAATCCTGTTTTGGTGACCTTTGGTCAAAACAAAACTCAGAAGTCTGCAAAAAAATCCTGACACTGCCTTGCAATGCAAAAGAACCTGCTGCCACGCAAGGGTCAAAAATCTAAACTTTTTTTTTAATTTGAAGAACCTCTATATTGGTGGACTCCATGCAACAATCTCATCAGGAACAATTTCTCTTTGTGTAACAAATATTTCTTGTCCCACAGGGTTAAATCCCCATGTTATAGGCTAAGGGTTATCTTCAACAAATTGTTTCTAGTCCCTTGACTTTTGCGGTATAAAGAGAGTCTACCTGTATATCTAAAGGTTTAAGACTTGTCCAAATTTCTCAGTATTACTCAGGAAAGAGATAAGCTATAAAAGATGTGACCAGATGTTTTTCAAAAGTGAGTGAGTGACTGATTGGGCAAATGAATACTTGCCTCCAAGTTCAGTATATTGTAAACTCATGTATTCATAAGATTACTGTGATAATAAATTTTAATATTCTGAAATTCTTGCTTTCTTCTCCAACAAAAATGATTACTGCATTTACTTGAGTACCAGCATGTGCCCTTGAGTGAGGTGTGCACAGGGGTTTTTCAATTGGAAATTTGGATAAAATCTCATCCCCAAGTAAGACTCACATCCCAATCTTTAGTGAATCTAAAACCACAAAATTTCAAAAATAAAAACAAACAATTGACTGTAGACATGAATTGAACAAAAATCTGATAAATTTTCATCTTTTTTGGTGCAATAAAGTTTTCTTGTTACATTTTCTCCAATTTCTCCATTATAACTAAGTATAATGCACTCATAACTTCCTAAAACTTCTTGAAAAATGTGTACCCACTTATGACTCGCAACCCTTCTTTTTCTTCTGAAATTTGAGAAAAAAGGTGCACTTGGCACTCCAGTAAATACAGTATTCCCCCACTTGAAACCTTGAATCAACTTTTTGTGGGTCCCTTGAAGTTTGTGAAGAGGTGCAAATAGCTCTTCTCTTTTCAACTTAATGAACGTGATTCATTCCAAATGTAATCTAACCTCTTCAATTTGAACTTTGTGGGACCAGCACAACAAAATTAACTCAAAGAGGTTTTTAGTCAGGAACGCAAGCATGTTTGCTGGATAGGGCGTGAAATTATAGGAAGTTGAAATTTGCTAATATTCTGGGCCGTAAAAGAATTCATAAATGATGTGAAAGCAAGGATACTGAACTTAGTGGCAAGTGTTCATTTGTCCAATTTAGTCACTCACTTCCTCTTGAAAAACATCTGGTCACATCTTTTATAGCTCATCTCTTTCCTGAGTACTGTACTGTACACAGAAAAGCACATCAAAGGCTTCCATAAATTTGAGTTATGGAGTTATGATGGGGAAAGTCTTTGATTTGGTAGGTTTATGATACGGTACATTGCTCTTCAGGAAATTTGTTCAACTCACTTCCTTCTGGAAGGGAGTTGCACTGATTTTTAATGCTTTTCTCTTTTTTTTTATTGACTCCCCAAAATAATAGCCAAGGGCCCAACATTTTTGACTATATAGGGAGGTCTATGAATTGTTATTATTGCAGGAATTCAGACAAGGATATATAAAAAATGTTGACTGTTCAAGGAGGTTTGAAATATCAGGGTTAAACTGCATAATGTCTTCTGGAACAGAACTAAGCTGATTTTTAAATTATGTTTTGTATTTCTTGAGTCCCAAAAATAATAGCCAATGGCCTCCAGAAAATTTGATTTAGAGAATTCTATAAATTATTATTATTCTAGGAATTCAGAAAGGGAAATAAAAAATGGACTAAAGGAGGTTTGACATATCCATGTCCAACTTTGAAAAAACTTCATGTTTCAAGGTATTGGAATGCATTACTTCTGATGTTATATACTGTACCTACTTTTCACTAATACTTACTTCTTTGTCTTTGCTCCCTCTTCTTCCTCATTCCTTCCGTTTTTATTTCCATTCCCTTATACCTACACAGTGAAACAAAGCCAAGACCGTGATGAAATGTCGTCCAGCAGCCGCTGAATGATGTCTCGTCAAGATGAATAAGTTCATGCATCAGGAACAAGACTCAATAATCTCACCCTCCAGCACCATCATGTGCAGTTCGGCTCATCCGTCATCGGCATTGTACTTATTATTGTTGAGAGTTGGGGTAAGATCACAGCATGCTGAGATGGATCATTTTCGTGGATACTCGAGTTTGAGTCGAGTCATGTCTTAATTATTACATATATATATACATGTTCTGATGAGCATCATATACAGCACGATGGAGTGTGCTGCAGCCCGCTGCTGTGTTCGTGATCCTCGTCGAACCCGCCAAAGTTATTTAAGGAGGAAATCGTGCTTTATGTACAAACGTACAAAAATAAAAGCAACAGCTTCTGCCAAATTTTGTTGTTGATATTTCTTTATGTATATTTGCAGTATAGCGGGGCCTTGCCTATATGATAGATAAACACAATTTGTTCAAACTTTATGTTAGCAAGAGGTAAAACGTTTGATACAGGTGAGACACGATGAATAACCGATTCATTGCTGGTTCATTAAAAAGAGTTTGTGCAGAAAAATGTTGAAAAATTGCTTGAACTTTCATGAGATTGCAGTTTGGATTCTCAAAAATACTCCGGGCAATGTATATTTTTTCATGTTCCCACATTTTTTTTTTTTCAAATTGAGAAGAATGGATATGGACGTACAGTATACTGCATACAAATGGGACATAATTATGATACGCAAGAGTTTCATAGGTTTTGCATCTGACTTCTGAGTCAAGTGCAAATGCTGGTTCTTTGAGGTTCACTCAACCCTCTGGAACTAGGAAAAATTTTGATTACTTGCTCCAACTCAAATATTTGCATACAAAATTGGATTTTGGATTTTTGGAAAACTCGTGAAAACATGTTCACAAATCAGTTTTCTCTTTTCAAAGATTGAGAATTTAGGAATTTTTCAGGCAAGAAAGTGCAGAATCTGCAAGGCCCTGACATTTGCTAGAGATAACTAAATTTTTTAGGCAAGTTATGCTGTACTGTACAGTGAATCCCTGCCTAATGGACCTCCTGTCTATAAGGGATTTTTGCCTAACAAACCACCTCATCTGGAGGCAGTTTTTTCTCTGGCCTAATGTACAAAATCCACTTACTGGACTTCT